GTAATCACCGAGTCAGTCATCTCCTGACCCTCTGGTAGTCACTGTGTTAACCATCTCCTGACCCTCTCTTAATCACTGTCAGTCATCTCCTGACCCTCTCCTGGTCACTGTGTCAACCATCTCCTGACCCTCTGGTAGTCACTGTGTTAACCATCTCCTGACCCTCTCTTAATCACTGTCAGTCATCTCCTGACCCTCTCCTAGTCACTGTGTCAACCATCTCCTGACGCTCTGGTAGTCACTTTGCCAATCATATCCTGACCCCCTAAGTCACTGTGTCATCCATCTCCTGACCCCTTGGTAGTCACTGTGTCCACCATCTCCTGACCATTTCTTAATCACTGTGCCAACCATCTCCTGACCCTCTGATAGTCACTGTGTTAACCATCTCCTGACCCTCTCTTAATCCCTGTCAGTCATCTCCTGACCCTCTGGTACTCACTGTGTCAACCATTACCTGACCCTCTCCTAGTCACTGTGTCATCCATCTCCTGACCCTTTGGTAGTCACTGTGTTAACCATCTCCTGACCCTCTCTTAATCACTGTCAGTCATCTTCTGACCCTCTCCTAGTCACTGTGTCAACCATCTCCTGACGCTCTGGTAGTCACTGTGCCAATCATATCCTGACCCCCTAAGTCACTGTGTCATCCATCTCCTGACCCTTTGGTAGTCACTGTGTCAACATCTGTTGAACCTCTGGTAGTCATAGTGTCAACCATCTCCTGACCCTCCCTTAATCACTGAATCAACCATCACCCTGACCCTCTGGTAACCACTGTGCCAAACATCTCCTGACCCTCTGGTAGTCACAGTGTCAACCATCTCCTAACCTTCTGTTAGTCAGTGTGCAACCATCTCCTGACCCTCCCTTAATCACTGAATCAACCATCACCCTGACCCTCTGGTAACCACTGTGCCAAACATCTCCTGACCCTCTCTTAGTCACTGTGTCAACCATCTCCTCACCCTCTGGTAGTCACAGTGTCAACCATCTCCTAACCTTCTGTTAGTCAGTGTGCAACCATCTCCTGACCCTCTCTTAGTGACTGTGTCAACCATCTCCCTGACTCTCTCTTAGTCACTGTGTCAACCATCTCCTGAACCTCTGGTATTCACTGAGTCAGTCATGTCCTGACACTCTCTTAGTCATTGTGTTAACTATCTCCCTGACACTCTGGTAGTCACTGTGTCCACCATCTCCTGAACCTCTGGTAGTCACTGTCTCAACCATCTCCTGACCCTCTCTTAGTCACTGTGTCAACCATCACCCTGACCCTCTCGTAATCACTGTGTCAATCATCTCCTGACCCTCTAAGTCACTGTGTCAACAATCTCCTGTACCTCTTTCATCACTGTGTCAACCATCTCCTGACCCTCCCTTAATCACGGAATCAACCATCTCCCTGACCCTCTGGTAGTCACTGTGTCAACCATCTCCTGACCCTTTACCCCTCTCAGTGTAATGCCCAAGTAGAGCTGACGTCCCACCATCCCTGCTTCTCAAGAGCACCCTGGCTGCACTTCCTTCAAGCCCGTCTGTCAGTCTGCTGCACTGTGGAGACCTGCATGGTCCTGGAAGCTATGCTACTAGTGCTCAAAGACCAGCAGGTGGACTGATGAAGGAGGAGGACCGGCCTTGAACGTCTGAAGTAGCGGCCTTCAGAATCCCTGCAGACAATGGCAGACCACTGATGGACATATTGCCATAAGAGGAGCCCCTTGGATGGGAATGTACCCACAGTGTGATTAGAGAAGAGCTGATTCTCCCTTTAATGACGTGAATGGAGTGAAGCTTTCACCCAGTGGAAGGCCTTCATTGGATATGTGGCAAGACTCAAAGTGAG